GAGGCTGCATGTGAAGTTTTCGTCACAGTGATGCAACTCGTCTGTCTTATTTCGGAGGCTCCTTCAAATCTGTCCTTCCATTCCCATGGATTGGTCTGGGGCCAACCTATCCCAGAATCCATTGGCCATTGGTGACAAAGTGTATTAGCTATAAATAACAAGCTGGTGACACAAATGGGAAATCCTCCGTAGACCAGACCGTCCGGTTTCAGTTCAGCTTCCTCTGTGCAGGAAGGTGTAGACGAAGACGTGACCTGTGTAGACCGATTCCTCCGAAGGATGTGACCCCTGAATTGGGACACAGCTCTTGTGTACGTGTCTTTGTTTCATGTTTGTGCCAAAATACTGCCGGTCGCAAAAAAACCCCAGGAAAAGTATATGAAAGCAAAATATAATTTTATTCATCAGTAGCTTTAACGCAGGTCAAATAACATAGAAACCAGGCTGTTTCCTCAGTGTTTATGCTAAGCTAAGCTAACAGACTCGTGACTTGGATCAGGAATTAGAAAAAAAGAATTTCCTAATTTGTTGAACTTTTTTTCCTCTAAATTAATTTTTTTTATATACAAACTATTCCTGATAATATTTCTGTATTTTTCCTTTTTAATTATTTATTTATTTATTTATTATTTATGTGAATTAGAAAAATGAGAAATTCAAAATTCTGAAAAAAAAAAACTTTGTTGTCTTACTTTTAAAATGTTCCAAAATGCTTTGATTTGTCTGCATCTGTGTTTCAATGAGATGGTTCAAACATCACATCATCTAATTATAATGTTATCAGTGATGTCTTGTGCCGCACTTAAAAAACATATTTTTCAACTTTTGTTAATTGAAGCTCAAGCAGTGAGTCCAGATTTGATAAAATTAGGCTAACTTTACCTTTGTTTTAGCGTGAAGCTGATTCACCACAAATTCAAATATAATAAGACAAATTATGTTCAAGCAACAGTCGTACGTAACCTTGACGTCCTTAAAACAACATTTCCAAAATTTTTCCAGTTGTGACCCGGAAGCAGACGTTTTCTCTTTACTTGCAAATGATCAAATCCACACACTGATTCTCTAATTGATGGAAAATATATTGCAAAAAAATTCAATTATCAATTTCTGTTTCCTTCCTTATGGAAGCTAAAGAAGTAGATATTAAATAAAACAATGAGCTGAGAGAATAAACCTCAGTCCCAGTGCAGACAGACGTGAATTTACATTTATAGGACCCCGGTGTCGGCTGGTTAGAAACAGCCTGGTTAGAACAGTGGGAAAGATAATTGGCCCCACTGAGGGTTTGAAAAACACAGAACCTGCTTTTTACCTGTAGTCGTGAAAATCCAATGACATTTTTTCTTTTTCTTTTAGCGCTAAAAAATCAATGCAATTACCTGAGCTTGTTGTTGTCAGTGTGTTGGGAACAGTTATTTAAAATAAGAAGATATAAAAATGCAGTTTCCGAAGGCCATGAGAATGTACCTGTGTTATTTGATTTATTTTTCATACGCTTTTTTGCACATCACCGTGGAGAATGTTTCCTGTTTGTATTGTTGATGAGACAAAAGAAACCAACCGAGCCCTGGTAACATGTCTTAATAAAGGAACGTTCACTGTGAGCCGGCGTCTGTCGCTTTATTCCGCACAGAGGTCGACTGTTCCAACGTGTTTCACTGTAAGAACGGGAAACCACAGCGGGAAAAACATTTTCAATATTTAATGTATTTGCTGACAAAAGGGCAGAAACACAGCGTACAGGCTTTCTACTCTCAGTTGATAAACACTCAAGTCATTTAAGTCCACAACGAGTTTTACAACATCAACAGTCGGGAAACAAAGTTGGGATTTTATGGCAAATTAGATGCTAAATAGTTTAATTAGAAAGTTTTTCCCACCTCATTTATTTCAATGAGGGCAGGCTGATGAACAGAAACTGCAAAAGGTTCAACCCCTGCAAACTAGAACGTCCAAATAGTTCAACTGTTGAATCAAAACATTTGTGTGAAGCGGAACGTTATAAACCTCTGCAGGGAGGATTCTGAAGAAAGAGTTTTGAGATCCTGCTCGAATGACTAATTAAAAGCAAACGTATCAGAAACATGAACATTACATTAGTCATATGAACTAACATTTTTGGGGAAAAATATAGTTAGTCCATGTCCCATCCATTAAAATGGATGTATATACATTATGTATATATTTATCTACTGTATATATAGAATCACTATATTAACTAAGGCATTCTCATCATGAAGAATTCAATTTTTCTTAATCAAATGCTCCAACTTTGTACTTTGATCATTAAAGTTATTAAGCAATAAGAACAATTATATGTTTTGTCACTGAAAAGACTCTCTGAGACGAACAGAGGAATTCAGATACAACCGACTGAGACAATGTGCAGGAAATATTTTTCTGTAAAAACGACACGAAGACAGGGAGAGGATGCAGCTTCAGCAAACACATCAAACACTCCTGGTTCTCGTCTCCAGCACCGAGCAGAATCACACCGCAGCACGGTGTAAATCCTCGCAGGTGTTTGAAGTGATGCTGCACAGATCGGCCGCTGCAGCAGGCGGGTGAGACGAAACGTGAGGCAGAGATTAAAAGAAGGAGGAAACTGTGGAGGAGAGGGAAGAGTTGAGAGGGAGGAGAGGGAACCGAGAGGAAAACACTGCTCCTGTGGGATTCGGTCTACATGCATTTCTTCTCCAGACTTAGGAGGTCAGTTTGACCTTTGACCCCTGAAATCGAACCATTGAATGAAGCTCGGGGGGCAACATGCAATCATCCGCTTAAACAGAAAATACACATTATCCTCCGCTCGCTTTGTGAAATGGGAAACAGTTTCCCAAAGACGAGGAATACGAGCGGAGAATCCTTTAAGCTGAGAGTCCACAGGGAGGCGTCTCCTTATCGTCCCTGTTCTCTGTGAAAGGTGGAGCTGCGCCGGCAGCGAATAAATAAATAATGTAAGAAAATGCGGCACATGTAAGAATATGTGAATGAATGAATGGATGGATGACTCTCTGGACAAAAAAACTTCAAACTCCACCCGTTCACTCTTTAACCTCAGTCAACGCTAAAGTATCTGCAACAGTGAGGACAGGGCCTCAGTCACCGTGATGAGAGAGTGAGTGTGAATGTGCGTCGTCATCATCACAGTGTGTCCTCTGCTCTCTTCAGACTAACATGAGAGGAGGAGAAGTCATTTCAGCAGGAAAGTAGAAGGAGGTGCAGTGGAGAGATCGAGCGTTAATGTTGAGGCTGTGCAGCAAGAATCCAGCGAGTGACTCAGACCAATGCAACGACTCCATATTCATTCCCAACACTCAGACACCTCCGCCAACGTAAAGCTGCGCGCAATCTATAATGACCAGCCCATCTAAAATGCATGGCGCTGTACATCGGCAAGACTCCCCTGCTCCCACACGGGTTAATGAGATTCCTTCTCCAACCGATTGTGCAGCTTTCGGAGGAAAATGAACCCCAGCGGGACTTCTCCTCCCAGTCCCCATGCAATCGGCCTCCGTCTCATTTGTATCTACTAGCCCGTGAGTGAGATTACTCGCTTGTGTGGGGGAACGTTGGGAAACGTTTGCGCTTCAGAGATGCGGAGAAGAAGAACACGAACAAAGCTGAGATGGCCACAAAAGCTGCTCGGCCCTCGGAGCTCCAAGGTCTTTTATTTAGCTGATTTACATTCTGCAGACGCTGACACAAAGAGGCTGAAACACTGACAGAAACATCTGATGAGACGTTATTACTCACACTACATTTTAGTTTGTACAAACTTGATGGTAAATAAAGATAGACACCTCCCCACATTCAGAAATGAAGCCAAAATATCCAAATGTATTAGAAACATAAACTCAGTGTGATCAGAACAACCTCAGATGACAGAAACCATCTTTGAGAAACATGTATTTAACGTCTACTTTCTTTTTTTAGTTCGGTCCATGTCCCATCTGTTAACATGGAGTAGGCAGGGTTTATGACCCGTAGCCAGACACCAGGGGGCGATAGAGATGCTTTGGCTTCAGTCATAAACTGTCCTAATGTGTTAGTCCGTGTTTAAACATCTGTGACGCAGCTGTGAAAGTTATCGTTTTAAAAACTGGAAGGATGAAACAGAACCATCACGTTTTCCATCACTGTTGCAAAATTGGTGTTTTTTGACATTTACACCAGTTTCCCAGAGAATAATTCATGGATCTTGATTTAGAATAATCAGGTATATCTCGGGAACTCATTGGTGCAGCTTGATTGAATTTAAGTGGCCTCTTCTCTCCACTTGAAGAGGCGAAAACTTGAGTCTTAACGACGAAGTCCTCAAGTGCAACGTCCTAGAATTATAATGGTTAACTGAAGAACGTGTTGTTACGAAATTGAGTTTGGTCAAATCAGTTCAGCTGCGACTGAAGAAAAAGGAAGAGAAGAGCAGATCAGCTGCTTTGATAACATCCACTAATTCCAGAAATCTCTCGGTCGGTGGGTTTCATATCTCGAGATGCGTTCATCTCATCAGCTTCACACGTGGGGTTCGTATTTTTAAAGGTTCCGAGAAGTGGTGCATTGAATTTAATTCGATTTGATAAGCTCAATGTTAATAACACAGTTTAGTCTTTATTTGACGTGGCTCAGTTCCTGCAGGTCTCTTTTACAGTTTCAGAAAGAAACCTGCAACCTGCTTCACCACAGACTGAACAAACCCAGTACAAACAGGCAGGTTTAGAACCAACACGGCAACAGTTAATGCAACAGAGTTAATATTAGAAAATGTGACAAGTGAAGATGCGACTGAAAGAAATGTTTTTAGGCAGCTTCCTGAAAAAGACAGAAAAGAACATGTTGGTGCTTTGACTGTTATTTGACTCTGAGCGACAAATTCAAAAATAAAGCGTGTTGAAATTAAAAACTACTTGTTGATGGACTGAACAGTTTGATTTAAAAATACTGAACCGGTTAATAAGATCCGTCTTCTCTGGGGAACTGCACATCATCATGAAAGATTCCATTTTTACACGTGTTTATTCACAAAAATCAGCTGTGACACAAACCATCAGCTGTTACAAATCTTTACACACGAGAGTCAGAACTCTCCGAATATTTCTCCCCGACAGAAACACTGAAGACAAACAACAAAGTGACGGTTGCACGTTTGCCTGCGTCGCTCTACTGAAGCACACGTATGAATCTCGTTCCTACTGCTCGGCGTTAAGTTGGGTTTTATTTTACATACATGGTACATTATATTACATGCAGAGTCCTTGATTAAACTGAAATAAAACTTAGTTGTAAGCCCTAAAAACGCATGCTGTGTGAATAAAAAACTATTTAAAAATACAGAATTAATCTTTGTAAATACATTTCAAAACACATTTAAAAAAAAAAAGAATCGTATCATAAAAATAAAAGTTTTAAAGACACAAAAAAAAAAAGTGACTTGTTACAAAGAAGAGGTCCCACATAAACACCAATGAACTGTTTTTGTTCAATCTGAAATATATTAAAGTTTGGTTTAGAAAATCGAGGATCAGGTTTCTTGTGAAATCCTGGCTTTTAAAACGAAGACGAAAAATAAAATACAAATATTCTTTTAGATTTTCAGTCAAATGGTTTTTATCTTCCTTTTGACTTTACGTGAATTAGTAGTTTAATCTTAAGATTTTGTGGCAGCATGAATACGAATCTTTTTTTTTTTTTTAAAGCAGTCATCACTTGATGCAGATGTTACGTCTGTTAAAGTTCATCACACGGATAAAAGACTAAAACAAATTCAAAAAATAACATTTAAAAAAAAATGAGTGTTCCCTTTTTTAAATTAAACCACATCATCCTGAAACCTCTGCACCAGAGACTGAAAACAAACAGGGACGACATGACCGATCCTGAAAACGTGTTCAAAGTTATATTTCCACTGGGGGTTCACTCCTCTGGATCCAAAATATTGGACCTCATAGTTTCTTGAAAAACTCTGACAGCTCTTTGAATATGACACCGAACAAACAACAACCTCAGTCGACCACTGACAAACGTTTCCTCCTCCACTGAATAGATAATAGATAAAAATAGATACAAATTTAAATTTTTTTCTTTCAACTTAAAATCACAACATTATTCTTGTAATATTATGATTTTATTCTTGCGATATCACAACTTTATTCTTGTGACACAAGGACTCATTGTCCTTGTGTTTTTCCATTTAAGTGGACTTATATATACTTGGTTGTAGTTTTGTTCCGATTTTTAAGTTGATGATTTACAGTTTGTGTACTTTGTGTATTAAACTACCCTCCGAGTAGAGTTTGTGGTTCACAGAGTAAGGCATGAGTTAAAGTGCAACACAACATGAAGATTGTTTTTAAAAACTTTTTTCTAAATAATGTTCAACTAGAAAAGATCTAAGAGAGACGTCGTTTGGGCTGAAGGTGTTTTTGAAACGTTTTAAAAGACCAAATGGAAACCAGTTTGTGAGGTAGTTAGATTTTCTGACTGAAATATTTAAAAACATATATATATATATTCAGACTATACCTCGAAAACCTTTGATTCTGTACACAAAGGAATTATTTAGCCTTAACCGTAATTTTGTAATCATTAAATTGCACTAAGAGGCTGTAATTGTTGAGATGTGAGTAGTTACAGGACACTGTAGTACGGTAGTGATAGTACTAGAATGAAACACGACATCGAGCATCACACACACCGTCAAACTGCTTCAACATAGATTAATCCTAAAAACGCTGCTGTGTCCGACAGCAGCAAATCAAAGAAGAACAAACAAAACCTTAAAATGTGCCCTAAAGTGTCCTGGGAGGTTCAGCTCCACCGGCCGAGAGTCACTTCACTTCATCACTGCACCATGTAGGAGGAGAACGTCTCCTCGTGTTTGAGTCCGTTCCGGGTGATGATTTGCTCAATGGCGATGTAAGTGCCCGTGAGGAAGCCGATCAAACCCACCATACTGATGACCGCGTTCTTGGCGGTCACCAGCGGCGACAGGCCTTCAGAGTGAAAAGTTACGATCTGGAGGAGAGGGGGGAAGATCAGCGCCAGGAAACTGCTGCTGACCGAGCCGACCAACGAGATGACGAGGTCCAGCTCCGGTATCAGGACGGCGAGGGCACCTGGGGGGGGAGACACAGAGGGAGGACATGAGAGGCAGTAAGGTCTGGAGCTGAAAAGTGGATTTTGGGAGATGAGCTCGATTTTCCCTGATCGATTTTGCCAACAAAAGCCCCAGATTGGAGCCGAGTCTGTGTTTTATTGGCTCCAATCGCACTTTGACAACGCAGATCTTAACTTAGTCAGGCACTTCCTGGTTCGTGTGAACTGCACATTAATCTAACAACTTTGAAAGTTATTTAATCTGAACTTGTCATAAATTAATCAGGTCTGGAAACCCCTCCGTGCCTTTTTCTGAGTTGATTCTAAATGTGAATCCCCTGCTCTTCCGCTTGACCTCGCCGTAATTGCATCACAACGTCTGTACCTATTGATCACGGCTACATTTACATACTGAGTGATCACAGGCCGTCTCCCCACTGCATAACTGTCCCCTTGTCCTTCACGCTGGGTCAGTCCGCTGTCTCTGATCTGTTCTGTACATACTTTATAGAGGAATACCAATAGACACACACAAACTTTGAGACTGGATTCTGGCTGATATTTCTTTAACAATTGACTGGAAGCTCTTGCTAGCTCAGTGAGGCTACAAAAAATACCTCAGTGACTCTGATAGTACCTCAATTCAAAGAGAATATCTGAAGATGTGAACAGCTAACGGTCTCATCCTTGAAGATGACACAGATATAAAAAGCAATCCAGTGGTTTTACTAATTCATAAAAATTCTTATGCTGAAGGCAAATGTTGAAGTAAATCTGAGGCTCCAGTTTCAGTCTGTGAAACTCGTCACTTGTCTTTTATTTAATGGGAAAGAAGAATTCTCTCAATCACAAGAAACCTCACAGATATCATGTGCATTGTAAATAACATGAGGTCACAGTGACCAAAATAAAATCTAATCAGTTGAGAGTTTGATGAAACGTTCAAGAGGCCTTCACCTTTGATTAACTAAATGTAGTTAATTCACCCTAGAGTCCAACTGAAGGTTTGTACCAAGTGTTAAGATATTTCCTGAAGGCATTGTTGAAATACGAGCGTTAGCGGACGAACCAACCAACATACGTAAGTAGGGACGGATGGACAAAGTGAAAACACAATGCTTCTGGCCACTGGCAGAGAGACATCAAAATTCAGACTTTGTTCGCCAACTCCTCATCACAGTGACCTTTGGCCTCTTTATCGCTGGCTGGTTTCTTCTCATGTTTGTGATCTAGGATTTCAATCATATCCTCCCAGTTCTCTGTGTTCCCTGTTACATGAGAATGATGGCGTGTAATAGAAGAGCCACATGACGAACTGAGTGCCCTGTAGAAGAGACAGAGGAGACAATCCCTCAGTTTTTATCTCCTCTACAGCACAGGAGTGGTAGAAAATTCAGAGCTGTGATAGAAAACAGGGCAATGAAGATGAGAGAGTACGAAAAACAGGTTGGATGAGGAATGAGGTGAGGTGTAATTTGGGAAAAAGGTGAGGTGAAGTGAGAGTCGTAGAAGAGATGGATAAGGCCTGGGAGAAGAGAGGGGGGAGGCGAAATAGTGATGGAGAGAGCAGAGAGTTTGGCTTTGAGAAAATACAGCTGTGATTGAGGGGATTGTTTTTGTTGGGATCAGCGACCATGATGCTACTGTCGCCAGGGACCCGAGTCACCTTCACCTGTCGTCGTGGAGACGGGCATAAACTGTGCCAGGCAGCCATGACTGGACAAAACAAGCGACACACTCCGATGATGCCTTGTCAAGTGAGGAGTGCGATCGAGGGATTGTTACGTTCACACACAAACACGTGCTCATCATCTCTAAATCTGTCCGTTACCATCTTCTCCCACAGCGAGCGGAGAGGAGAGGACAGGTGGGGCGCTCCTGTTCTCTCTGTGTGTCGGACGCTCTTCACCAGCAACTGATGAAAGAGTCTCTGAAACATAATCAATTGCTTGCCGCTGCACGTTCACAAACTTGGACAAATTAACCTACGGGGCGACGGCAAGGTCGAGCTTTCATGTAACAAGTAAGGCGAGAGAGAGCCCCTCGCCACCACACTCCTGGGGAGTAAACCTGTCACTTCTGGGAAAAGACCCATGCTATTGAAGGGTGCTCTTCAAACTGCATCTGAAGCTTGCAGAGCCATCAAACAAGGCAGGCAAGGCCGAGAAGGGGGAAGGTGATGGGGGTGTTGGGGCTTTCATACCAAATAAACCACAAGGCTTTAGCTAAAAGCCAGGCTGCTGTCCCCCGAGAGAGAAGCAGAATGTGTATCATCAGGCAGCTTCAAAGGGCTGAGGAGGGAACGCGTCGAGCAACCTAATATGGCCGCGCTATCTCTGATCGTACAGAAACAAAGGAAATAAAAAAAACACAAGAACATGAAGAGAAAGTATTTTCCTCCTTCTAGTGCAGCTTCTCTACTCCACCTGATTGGTATGCCAGAAATTGCTTGACGCAGTCAGATACTCCTTCAGAGAATGACGGAGATGTCGGAGAGGAGAAAATTGGATGATGATGTCGATAATGGTTTTATGATGTTTAGTTATGTTTAGAGTATTAGAAAGTGAATGAATGGTGCACTGTAAAGGTCGGACATCGCATCTGCAGAATTTAAAGTGTTTGTGAGGGGAGGAGCGCCGTGAAAAGAAACTCATTTAAATTGCATGCCATCATCAACAATTGGTTTATTTTAATAATTTCCCAACTGCAGATTAACACAAAGTAAAATGGATGAATATTAATAGGTCAAAAAACTAACAGTAGATTAAAATAAATTTAAATTTATGGGATAAATATTCTTAGAAAAGAAAAGGCACACACAGAACCAACACTCTATACAGCCTGGTAGCTTTGATGTGAATAACATCGTTCAGATCATTAATTTCGTTTTTAATCTGAAACAGATTACAGTTGGACATTGGTTCTCTGCCGGGAAACTAGATTGCTCCGGGTTGGGGTAAATTGCTGCCTCCAAGTGAACAAGTTAATGTAGCTTGAGGAAGTGACGGGAAGACAGTTGGGTCAGTGTGTTGTCAACAGTAAACTAGCTGCCTTCATGATCTGATCTCGGATAAGAGGAGGATAATGGACGATGGATGGAGGTTTGACATTGGTCAAAATTCAGAGAACAAGCAACACAAGATCAAGGCTCATAACAAAACTTAATCGCCCTCGATGATTGATTCAGGAGCAGGACGGCTTCCAAATGAACGTATGATTAAAATTATTGACTAAGAACTGAAATCTGTTCTCTAATTTACCGAGACTTGGATCAATTATGTAAAAAAAAAAACTCCTGCAGGCAACAATCAATGAAGCAGGTTTGTTGATTCGTGACAGAAGGAGTGATACAAATCTGTGAGGTGATGAGTTGAGAATAAAACCCAGTTAAAATTGATCAGGAAATTTACAAGCCATAAGATTTCTTCATTGACCTTTGGACGTCTTTTTAAAGATTAGAGGTCAGAGTGTGAGACGAGTCCGTGTGACCAAGATCCACAGCAACATGACCCTTGTCAGACATGTTAAACTTGCTTTAATCTTAGGTCTTGTGTGTCTGAGTGCAGAAACGCGTTCATTAAAATCCCAAACTTTTGTACTGAACATGCTGTTGCTGTTTAACTCCACTACACTTCTTTCTTTACACCCATCAAGAGTGTCTAGTTCTGATAAAAGAAATATAAAACAAAAAGGAGGTGGTCTGACAATCTTAATGATTTATTTATAAAGCAATGTCTATCAAGATATATGTAGTATTCCCTAAAACATTTACTTAATACTTGAAAAGTATTAAAAAAATTCTGAATCCACATCAAAGTACAATGGGTTCTTCCGAGGCCGATGCACACCACCAGGTTAGAAGTCTTTGCAAATCTGTGCTTAAAAATAAACCAACAAACAGACACAGGTGAGAACATAAGCTCCTTGGTGGAGGTGATAAGCAGCTGGAAGAAGAAAGGCGGAGAGAAGGAGGGGAGCGGGGTCTGATTGCCTTTAGACTGTCAGTTTCTGAACCAAGCCCACAACTTTCCAATCCACTGGCAGGACCAGCTTCACAGCCAGGAGGAGTTCCTCCAGAGCCACAAAGTAGAGGATGCTCTTTGGTGGGATCAGACATTGGTAGAGTGGGTATACTGTCGTGTCTTCACCTTGCCACCAGCAAATACCACACAGGAAGGAGCCACAGGACCCAGCTGCCTCCAGACTTTCATGCGCTCAGAGCTGTGCTGTCTTGCTGCTCAGTGGACTGGAGCTCATTAAACATGGAGGGGAGCTCACTCCCCGGCCGCTTCCACTGAGGGCCAACAACAAGTGAACAGTCAAGGTCTGCTAATGATAATTAGCGAGGAGTGGATCTTCTCAGCTTGAAACCACGACTTCACTGACATTAGATTCCAGAAAAATAGCACTCAAATACTACAGATGTAAAAACAGCAGCCAGTAAAAAAATATATTATTTTATATACATCACGGCGCCATCAGCCTTCTTTACACACACTTAGTTAAAGACAATCACCTACAAAATCATTATCTGATGCCAGATGGAATTCACAGTGCTCGTTTAGACTCACTATGAAACATCTTCACTGATACAGTCTGCTGAAAACTAGGTATAAACTGGGAATTAACACTGTGATGAGCAGTTTTACCTTAGTTCTAAACTGTAACTGACCTTCGACGTATCACATCAGTGATATACTTTGCTCTGACCACTCTGTTCTTAGAGAGTGCATGAACATTCTGGCACCGGACTAGCGACAAGTCAATCAACTCACCGTGCATTAACATCTACTCGCCACAGGCCATCAATTATGTCGGCCTCCATGTATAGCTTGCACTTCACTGTAGCTGCACTGTAAATCCTATCAGCTAAGTTATAGCTTAATGTGTCTTATTGTGTTTTAGTTTATTCTACTTATCTGGTTTTATTGAAGTCTTTAAAACTATTTATGTATCATCATCATTTAAAAAAATGTATATTTATACTGCCTTTAATTGACTGTATGTCTTAATCTAATAT